ACAGACCACCAAATCCCATTGAATTTCTAGCATCGTATCTTTTAAAAAACAAGGCACAGTTTGAAGATCGAAACTGACTTATTGGAAAGAACAGGAAAATTTGTTTTCTACTGTAGATTTATGTGATTAAGAGCAGCTTTAATTGCCATGATTTCTGCCTTTTTGGAAGTATAAGAACCTTGAGGACAACAGAACTTATTTCTGGAATTGCAGAAGAAAACATATCACCCTTACTTTGATTTAATCACCATAGTTATTTAATGAGTGGTATTCTGTGCAATTTTTTTCTTAGATTGTCTTTAACTTTGTTTTTAAAATGATCTTCAAAATAAACTGTTAAAATGTCATTATTTTAAAATAGTCTTTGTTCTATATGACAGATATTTTATGATTCATTTGCTTTCATGAATTGCTTCAGAATGCTGCAGTTTGAAAATATACCAGAGTCAAGTTGAATATAAAAAAATCTCAGCTACTTTTTCTCAGCATTGTCACTGGATCTCTCGGAGTGTGGGATCTGGGCATCTTCAGCTTTTAACAAACATCACATATTATTCTGTTGCATAATAAAGTTTGGAATGCTGATAAAAGCATTGCAGAGGGTAAAATGTCCTCCCATGCAACCAACTTTTATGGTAATAATACAGTAATAGCTATCATTTATTGCAATTCTATGGGCCAGGCACAGCTCTGTTACACTTAAATTATCTCTAATATGGCAGCCCTGCAAAGTAGATACTACTATTCCCATTTTGCAGATGATGAAGAAACAGATTTGGAGAGGTTAAGTGACTTGCTCAGGATCATAATGCTGGTAAGTGCTTGCATGGGCATTCAGACCCAGTCCTACCAATGTGTTGCAGATGGCTAACTGCTACATTGCTCTCTCCTGTGCTTAAACTTCTCGGGGGAGGAAAAATCAGTTGCCCTCTGTGTGTACAGTAAAGCCCTTTTACCTGGCTAGTGTAACAAAGTGAGCCTTAGTAGGGAATCATAAATGACACTGAATACTTTAAAATTTTTAAAAATACCTACATTTACTTTGTAATATTTTGATTTCAGTTTTTTCTCTGGGTAAGGGTCATTTGGAATTCTGTATCATTTTTCTTCTGCAAACCACTCCTCTATTGTGTGGTCTAAAAATTTCAGTTTCAGATTTTTGGAAAATAGAGTAAGATTTTAGATACTTAAGTAATTTATAGAATTCTGCACTTCCTTGTTGATTTTTTTTCTAGCCTTCAGTCACCTCATCTGCTTCTAATTTGACAGTTTTTATTGAATCATTTGAAAGCATTCCACCTAATTTTTATACACACATCTTTTGCATTACTTGTATTTCATTAGTTTATGTAGTATTTAATTAAACTATGTAATGGCAGTACTAGTATAACTGATATAAATAGGTTGGAGAACACAATTGACCCGTGTAGTTATACACACAAACCTGGGAGGAGAGTGCAATAGTGTGAGAGTTCCCCAAAAAAGTGTAGTCTACCAGCTTCAGGAGTCCAAGCTTGTGGCCATTGTTAGTGTATTTTAGTATGGAAATGGAGAACATCACTTACTCCAGTAAGTTACTTAGGTAAAAAGCACTCTACTTATACTTTGATATACAATACTTTGATGAGGTATTTTATGTGTAGCTGACCACTATATTATAGAAGCAGTTCCTGCTTTGACCACCTAATGGGGAAGATACTGCTTAGTAAACAAGTACATAAGTAGAGTAAAAAGTACTGTATCTTATAGAGTGAATTCTTGAATTATGTTAAATTATGATAGATGGTTTAGTGGGAGACCCAGTAGAGTAAATTAGGAATAGAATCATAGAGGAAATAGAGACTTTGAATTCAAAAATAGCAAAGTACAATTGGCCCTTGAACAGCCCAGGTTTGAAGTGAACACGTACACTTATATGCAGATTTTTTCAATAAATCATTGGATAAGTTTTTGGATATTTGTTACAATTAGAAAAAAATTCCTTTCTCTAGCTTTATTGTAAATACAGTATATAATACATATACAAGATATGTATTTTATACATATGTCTTAACTTTATATTATCAGTAAGGCTTCTAGTCAACAGTAGGCCATTAGCAGTTAAGCTTTGGGGGAGTCAAAAGTTACATGTGGATTTTTTACTGTAAGGAGGGGTTTGGCAACCCTGAGCCCAGCATTGTTCAAAGGTTCCTGTAATTTGGATAGGGCACTGTCTACCTATTTCTGAGGAACCTTTGAGAAGAGTTATTGAACCTTTGTTTAAATCTCATTTAAGAGAAGGTAGATGGAATTTAAGATTGATAACTTCCTATAAGAAACAGTATAAAATAGTGTAGCCAGATATTTTCCTGGACTGGATTCCAAAAAGGCATTAACAAATTGGAGGCCTCAAAGATACCATCAAATGGTAGAAATGAGGGACAAAAGATGAATGGTGTAAATGATATCACTGAGAATCCACTTGTTGAAAAATCTCTAGATTTAAATTAGGTAAGTAGGGAAGTAATATAATAGTGGAAAATTGGTCACCAGAGATAAAAGGGACAGTCAATAATGAATAACGATTTTCTTAAAAACAATAAAGAAATTTGTCAGCCTTTAAGAGAAAGTTTAAATTTTTTGATTCAATTATTTCATTTGTGGGAATCTTAAAAAATACAAACAATAAACAATAAACTTGAATAAAAAGCTTTATGTATAAAAATTTATTCCAAAAAAAAAAAAGGAAGTGGACACATTTACATTGTATAAGAATCATTAAGTATGTAAAGTACATAGCCCAGTGTTGGGTACATAGTAAATGTTTAGTAAATGTTACATATTAACTTTGGTTTCTAAAAAAGAAGGGGGAAGCCAGTTGATGCTAGGTTAGAGTAAGCTGTTAATGGAAATCAAAAGTGTATCTTTATGCTACGCTCTTGTCTCAACCTTGATTTGTTCAAAATCAAGTGATGTGTGGTATTATCAAAATAGAATATTTTTCTTACACAGAGCTTTTAGTAATTAGAGGACTCAAATGTCAGCTGTGGATAAGTAAAATCTGAAAATGGTCAACTTAATATTTCCATGTAGATTCCAAAAATTGAGCCTAAAGATGTAAATAAATTAAGCTTTTTGTTTGGGTAGTATATTATATGGCACACAATTCAAAAGATACACAAAGGTGTACATTGAAAAGGTTAAATCTTTTGTCCATCCTTGTATCTCAGCCACTCAAATAATTACTGTTACCTGTTTGTTTTTCCTTCTAGAAGGATTCTGTGTATATAAAAGTGTATGAGAATATAAGTACTCATTTTCACACAAATGGTGGCATACTTCATACATTGCTGTGCAGTTTGCTTTTTTCATTTCTGGGGGAGTTCCTTCCATACGAGAATATAACACCACCTCATTCTTTTAATGGGTGCATATGTATGGATGTATCATTTTAACAAGTCTCATATTGATGGACATTGTGGTGGTTTCTAGTCATTTGCTGTTACAGACTGATGCAATGAATTTGTGATGTGCTGTTTCAGAAGCTATGTTGGATTCTGGGACTGCTGGTGCATTATTTATTGAAGTCCGTCCTTAAGACTTTTCTATTAATGAAGATTTCTTCTTTGCCCTTCAGTATGAATATTTATGGAGTGTCCAACTTAAATCCCTAATGGATATATGGAAATTGTTAAAAGTATGGGACTTGTACAGTTGTGCCAGACAGGCTTCCCTGGGGATATGAAATGAGTATTTTGCATTATATGAATCTTCCTTAATTTAGGAGAGGTGGTGAAGTGAAAATTTCAATTTAATTTTTTAAATCAATCTATCCTTGAATAAGGCAGCCAGAATAAGATGAACAAGATGACTAGTGATGAGATACATTGAGCGCTTTCTAGAGATAATAGATGATTTTCTAACCTTTCACTTCAGCTGGCATTGTGGTCTTTGATGTGTTTGATAAGAAATCTGACGAAAGAAGTCTCCAACTGAGCATTTTAATGGGAGAAAGAAGTTTAATTTTAAAGTAGATTTAAAACAACAGCTTATAAATTGTTTTCACATATCTACTTAATAATTCTAACACCAAGCCTGTGTATTAGATATTACTGCTGTTTGCATTTGACAGATGAGGAAACAGGCTTGAATAGATTAAATTACTAAATGCCCATGATCTCACAGCTGATGAATGACAGAACCAGGACTGAAATCTGGCTTTCTAATTTGGTATGCCTGAAATATGTAGCTTTCTTAGGTAGTTCATTGTCCCTTCTCTCCCTTTTTTGGCCATAGAATCAGAATCAACAATAATTAACTCAAAGAGCTATCTGTCATCAATACCAGTATCAATCATAGTAACAGTTTCCTTTTCTTGAAATTTACAGTGAAATGTTTATTGTTTCATTAGTTACCATTGAGTTTTGGTACTTCAGGAAGAGTACCATAGAACCAGAACTCCAGCTTTCCCACCCTAAGTTGACTACCTGGCATGTGTTTTTTTTTTCCTGCATAATATCTTAATATTTGGGCAGGTTAGTGGTGGAGTGAGAGGGTTAAAACTTGAGTGAAAAAATACCTAAATTCAGTGGAGATTTTTTAACCTAATAACTGTAGAAAAAGTATGAAAGTGTTCGAGTAACTGATTAGGCTTTAGGATTGGGATCTCACACAGAGCCTTGAAACAAGTTGAAAATGAAGAGAGGTGGGAACAGAGCAGTACTTACAAAAAATGTGTACTATGGCGCAAGGGGAACGATTATTAGGCAGCCAGTTGTTTGCTTTGGACTCTTCAAGGGGAACCATTTAGTATGAAACTCAAATATAACAGTTTTATATTTTTAACCCCAAAATCTTTCATTGAAAACATGAAACTTTCTCTTACTCTACAGTTTTAGAATGGTCTACTTCGTAACACTTCCTCAGAGGTCCAAAATATCCTACTTTACTGTGATTCTAATACGCGTTTAAAGAAATTCTTTGTTCCTGACAGCTACGTGGAACACTGGAATCTTTAAGGCCGGGGCGGGGAGGGGGGTTGGAAGTAATGTTTGTTGTATGCCTACTCTATTAGGCTCTTAGTATTTATAAACTCATATTCCTAGGGACACCACTAGAGTACTGTTGTCTCCATTTTACAGATGAGAATAGCTGAGGCTAGCATAATCACTATTTGGTCTAGGTAGGGAGTTAAGACATGCCACCTACATTACTACAAAACATGAAATATGCTTAAGTGCTTACAATATCCAAGCCACAGGTAGGTGGTATGAGTGGCCCTGTGAAGCAAAAACTAGCATTTGCACAAACAGGCACACTACCATGTGCCTGTTTCTGCAAATAAATTTCCCAAAGTGGCCACAGACGGGTGCGAATCCACTAAGGACTCCCGGGTGTGATGGGGGCACGAACCAGACAATCCTCGTGGAAAGCCGCATCCGAGCGTCCTCGGTATTCTACATGTACGGAAGTTGGCTGGGGTCGGGAGGCTTGCCCTGCGGCTGCGTCCTGCTCCCCGAGCCCTCCCCGCTTTCAGCCGCTGCTGCCGCTAAACCCCGGAGAGTGGAGCGTTCACGTTGAGATTACTCGGTGGGCCTGACAGTGGTTGCTGGGCATGCTCAGTGGGCAGGACCCGTTAGGAGTGGCGAGTAAGGAAGCGTTGGCTCCTCTCCGGTCTGCCTTTCCCGGTTCAGGCCCCGGCCCTGGGCTTTCGTGAGCGCCGGGCTGCAGCCGCCGTTGCCTCCTCGCGGGGCCACTCGGCCCCAGAGGCCGTCTGGCCTGTCCGGTTTCCGCCGTGAACCTCGCCGCGCGGCTGGAGGAGGGGCGGGGCCGGGGCCCGCGGGCCAGCGGCCGGGCGGGCAGAGGGCCCTGCCGGGGGTGGGG